ATACGTATAATTTATATATGTATACCATGTTTGTATATGCGAGTCAATAGGTCACAATTGTGCTCTGTGGCAATCACGTATGGGTATCTAAGATGTATCTAAGATAGGCCTTCCTTCTTTCCTTCCTTTCATTTTTCTTCCTCCACGTTTTTTGTATTCTGGGCTTTGTGTCACTTGAATGGTATCCCTATATAACGTTCAAATTGACTGTAGGTAAGGTAGATTAGGTCTGTGTTGGTAGGTGTACATCATAAACATGACTAAACATGACAATGTGTCGATTCAAGTGCTGGGAATAGTGATTCGGGGTGTGCATGCCCACACGTGCATGTCACTATATGCCTTAATATTTTCCCAGCCTACAAAGCTCATCTGGAGTCAGGTGGACAGCCTTTGTACCTTATACCTTGTAAGGGATCTTCGATAGAGATAAGCCACTTTATACCGATACAATCTCTACTATCCGTAGACTACATTGTTCTTCGTCTCAAACCTAACTACTAGCTACCGTGTATCTTACAATGCTCGTGCACCGCAGGTGGAATACAACCCCTTCCAACAGAACACCAAACTCCTCGAGTACTGTGAGACCTATGGCATACACCTGCAAGGTTATTGTCCCCTGGCCAAATCAGCTGTCCTGGATAACGAGACTATAGCAAACATTGCCGCGCGGGTGCAGAAAACGCCGGCGCAGGTGAGCGAACATTCAAACGACTTTCTATTTTTAGATTGCATTATCGACAAGTTTCACATCCACCCAGTGCTATGTTTTAGGACAGGTCTTGCTTTGTTTTAGGACAGGTCTGTCTTGTTGTCCTGTGCAGTTGTGCTTGGTGAATTTGCTCTGAATTAGCCCAGTTATTATCATCAACCGTGCCCGTCGTACTGACTGAGATAACGGTGCTACGCTACATATCGCCTCCCTCACACTACACAGCCGGTGTGTGTAGCTAATGTTCGGTATCTCTGTCAACTCCCACCCATTCGCAGTGTCTGATCCGCTACGGTCTGCAGATAGGCGTTGGCTGTATACCCAAGAGCACCAAACCGCAACGCGTGGCGCAGAATGCAGATGTGTTTGACTTCGAACTGTCAGCGGATGATTTGGCCGCGCTCAACGGCCTCAACGCTAATCTTCGCGTGTCATGGGACCCCACAGAGATAGCGTAATCTATACACGCGCTCAATGACCTCAACGCCAATCTGCGCGTGTCACGGGACCCCACAGAGATAGCGTATTCTATACACGCACTCAATGGCCTCAACACCAATCTGCGCGTGCCATTGCACCCCTCAGAGATAGCGTAATCTATACACGGTGACCTTGTACCCCTCAGAGATATCTGAATCTATACACGCGCTCAACGGCCTCATCACCAATCTGCGCGTGTCATTACAAACCTTAGAAATAGCGTAATCTAGACACGCGCTCAACGGCCTCAACACCAATCTGCGCGTGTCATTACAAACCTTAGAAATAGCTTAATCTAGACACGCGCTCATCGGCCTCAACGCCAATCTGCGCGTGTCATGGGACCCCTCAAAGATAGCGCAATCTCTGACCCCTTGTCTGGTACCAAAGAACCAGTCCTGTCCTGTTCGGAAAATTAGGGCAATGGAGATGGGGAGCTGGTACCAGCTTTGGTTCGCTTTTGAAATATATGAACAGGGTGGGATGGATTTGGGCAAATGACTGCGCTTGTTCGCTGCATAAGGCTCCACGCAGAGAATGACAATACGTCATGCACTTACGTTAGCCATAGTGACTCGTATTTGTCAAGAGATAGTACTGTCTAACCTGATCTTTACAGACCTAATAGCTAATCCTTAGTCGTAGCCAATTGAGTCTGTAAGAGCTGAGCTGCAAATTCCAGGCCAAACTTCGTCCGATTAAAAGATTGTTTTTATTATAAAAACGCAGGACGAAGACTATGTACGTGTATATCACTGATATTAAATAGCTGGTCTACTTCGAACTACAGGCCATACCTGCCGATATCAATTAATATGGCCTAATCATGTGAATGATCCCGTTGCTATGGCATACTACATGCTCTACATCATGTATATGCCCTGTCTACCACTGCACCATCGGTTGACGCCAACCAGTTCAGTTGCACAAGTATTTGATATAGCGGTGAAGGTATCTGGTAGATGGCACAGATTTTTATCTCCACAGTTTTTGCGTTAGACCGCGTTATTCGATATACTACAATTCCAGTCCAGGATTGGATTCCCACCAGACGATTTTACCGAAAAGCAAAATAGTGCCAATTGTTAAGACCCAACTTCAGCGAATTTCGAATTGAGGACCACTTTCTCAATGCGAGAAAATCAAATCTGCATGTAGCTCGTTCACATCGATTAAACGTCCGAGTTTGGTACGTTGTGGTATCTTCTGAGTGTGGTAGGTTGTAGTATACGTGCCTTGCCTGGCGATGACATGCACAACTCAGATATGGCGGTGCAGTGGGAGATGTAACTCATGTTTTGTGCATGAGTGCGTCCGACTGTACGAATTGGAATCTGTACTGTCGCAAGTCACCCGCAAACCCACACTCGGTGTATATGTAATGTCCACCTCTGCTTCTCTCCGAATTCCAGACTCAATTTGGCTGTTTTCATATTTATTTGGTTGTATTACTATTAATTTGATTGTATTCATATCAGTTTGATTGTAGTCCTATTAATTTGGTTGTATCCCTATTATTTATATTTATTTCTATTCCTTTTAATTCGGGATGTACTTAATCATTTTATATCCGGGAATACCAGTCAATTCCAGTACAGCAGCATGTTAGTATTCACCAGTCGATTCTAGTACAACATGATGCTGGTTATTCACAGATAAACAAAACCCAATATCAGGTCCGTTTCGATATCAATTCGAGATCTGTCATAACTTTTTTTTCATATTGAGCTTCCATCACTCGCTTCTTGCCCGCCACATAGTCTATGTACGACGCCAGGTTCAGCGTGTGTGTACGTGTCCACTTCAGCTTCAGCAACGGCTTGCGCTCCCTGGGCGGCAGTTGTAACCGGAGCATACGTGTGGCGTAGTGCGTCTCTCTGAGGTGTCGTCGAATTTCCATGTTGTTCTCGAACACTACGTGTGGATAAAAGCGGTCGCATAGTGAGTTAAATGAATCGGATACACATACTAAATGTATGAACTGTACAATAGGTACAATGGGGATGGTAGGCCAATGCGGACATTCTAGTAAGCTAAATAATTGATATACTAAATTTCTGAAATGATGAAGTATTGGAATATTGTCAACGTGCCTTGGTGGAAGTGGTGGATGAGAGATGGATTTGAGACAAGCTGACAGAATAACAACTTGATTGAATGAAAGTGCAACGTGTGGATCTGCTAATGACAAGTATACACCGACACATACTCTCGTATCAGGGCGATGCACGCACAATGCCACACACATCGATTTGCAATGCCTTGTAGTCTCACGCATTTACAGTATGCAATACAGGCTCTGTTCCGGGCACCGCACAAGCTGTGTAGAATCTCACAATATATAGACACGCACGCACGCATACTCACATACATACGCACACGCACACGCACACAAACACACACACACACATATATATATATATATATATATATATCATTAATATGTACATAATATGTATCGTACGTACATTTTGTGCTCGTGACTGTGAATTTATATGTATACAAAGTTGTAACACATGCCTGAGTTTCTCGCTGGCCCTCAGCGTCACGCGCAACACAATATATATGTACATGGCACGTCTCCATACTCACCTGTGGCACACGCGACTCTGAGATCATCACTGGCTCTATTCCTGACACGCATCAGCTTGCCGTACTTATCCTTCACAGCGTCTCGCTTCACAATTAGTCGCATCAGCCTCTCGATATTCGTAGGCATGTAACGCTTCGTCTCATTCACGTGATCCCATTGGTCGTTTACCTCACCGTCTATCCGGTCCAGTTCTTCCACTTTGTCCAGTAGTGCGATTAACTGATCCAATTTCTGAGCGCCCGGATTCCGTGCCGCCTCGAGTTTGGGTTCGTACGCTGACCCTTGCAGCTGTGCGTATTCTTGGAGGGTAAATCTGTACACCTTCTCTTTGTGTTCATCACTAGAGAGCTTGATATCATGCATGTCTTCTAAATTATCAATCTCGATCTGCAACTGGTCGGTTTACATCTCCCACAATTCTCGCTGATTGACAGAATCAATAGTGAATGTTTCTAGGTTGTGAATATACATTGAGTTCGTATTTGCTATCATAAGGCTATCGATGCACATTTTTGTATATTTGGGGATACTTACGTAGAATATACTCAGGGGCGATCAAATACATACAGTAATATAAATGTGTGCATATACTATATACATATACATATACATTATGTTTACACATACACATATTTCCATACATACATACATACACACACACGCATAATATATA